ATACAACAACTTTAATCTTCCTTCTTTCATATATTACCTACGTATTTGTTTCATACCTAGAAGTGCGGGCCGTATTATGACATCTCTCTCAAAAGCGTTCTCTAACAGTTGAGTGGCAGATTTCAAAAATATTTCGGAACAACATTGTTTGACGGTGCGCAAAGACATCTCTCTCAAAAGCGTTCTCTAACAGTTGAGAGGCAGATTTCAAAAATATTTCGGAACAACATTGTTTGACGGTGCGCAAAGACATCTCTCTCAAAAGCGTTCTCTAACAGTTGAGAGGCAGATTTCAAAAATATTTCGGAACAACATTGTTTGACGGTGCGCAAAGAAACACAAAGACCTACTTGCGTTATGTTCACCGCAAGAATCAAGCTCCATACTTTAGAATTATAATCCCTCAAGCTTACCATTGAACCATCAAGGAGCTCGATTACGAAAACTAAAATCTCTATAATTTAACTATCTTCCAAGAAACAAAAGAAGTTAAAGAGGTATTTATTTTGCTTTAAAATTGCTTACATATGAATAATTAGTAATAAAAAGATTAAGACCAAATGCCTTTGAAAATTCGCTGAAACAAATTAATATTTTCACGAATCGTGTTATACTTGTACTGGGTAAACTCGTTGCTTGTTGGAGGAATAAGAAATTATGTAAAGATAAAATTGTAATTATACTTTTTCAGAAAATATACATTAATTATTAATATAGCAACTGTGACAAAACATTAGAGTGGAACTGAAAACAATACTTTTTTAATCTGATGTGGTTTTATGCTTAAAAACAAAACAAACAATGAATCTGATCCAGTTGCTTGGAGTACGAGACTGGATTAATTGCACACACATACAATTTATCTGCTGCAGGTCGGATGTATCTCAACATTAAAGGTTTTAGCTTAAACATTATTTATGTTAGTCGTAAGGCAAATTATTGCAAAGCGTGCACTCTTTTACCGAATGAGCAGAAATATACTATTAAATGATGCAAAATAATTAAATAATAAATATACTACCCTTACCTACTCCAAATAAGCACTGTTGCTAATAAATGCATTATGTCCTTTGCCGGATTCTGTTGACGATAACTATTGATCAGAATACACCTGGAGTCATAGTGAGATGCTTAGTTTTTAAACATATCATAGGTATTGGATAGGATAGCTTTAGAAATTATGCCCCTAGAATAGGTTTGTGATTAACAAGTTTTAATGTTATGCACCTTAATAATACCTTTTCTACTTGCCGTAAGTGTAATTACAATGCTTAAATCACGTATTTAATGTAACGAATTTATTATTGTATATTTATTTTATTATCGAGGTTTGTTTAGATTACATTTATATTTAGAAACATACATGGCTTATACTGTATGTATTTGCGAAGTTGTAGAAGATTCTCGAGAGTAAGAATCAACAATACATGTGTGTACGTAAACACTTAAATTGCATTGTTACGTAATCTGAATTTTCTAGAAAACCTTCCCACGGCTATAAATATAACCAACGCGATGCGCCAAGAGAGTATCTATAATTACTTTGCTGTAGTCAGTGTGCTATAAACTTCGGAAGCTATAATTGTGATTGTTATAACGCTTATCAATCGGAAACTTTAGATATTTGACCGGGAGCGTTTACAAAATTCGAACGTTACAACTCATTTAACTTAAGTGGATTCACATCGACATTAATACTTTTACGAAAACATTACCTAACGTCATCGGTGAAAACTCAAACTCTAATAGGCGTATGATCAGCGAGAACTACAGGGCTAGCTAGTTCCCTACTAAGTGAATTGTACTTATATCAACTCGTAATCAATTCGCTCATCGTGAACCATCGATAAGATATCAAGGAAGTTCCAAACTAGAAAGAAGACTTTATATTGCTTGTAAGTTTGTGAAACTTTTGTTTATAAATCATTATTAGTAATAACTCTTTGTAATAACTGTTATTGTAAATTGTATTGTTGTGTGTATATTAAAACATATTTGTATACAAGAAAACTGTGTGTATCAATCTTGTTGGCAAATATTATAAACTGACTATATATCGGCCTTTACTTAACTACTAAATTCAAAGTACAATTTAACTACTAAATTGAAATTTGTCAATTAACTCAATTTCAGACTATTTGAAATTCTAATACGTAACATTAAGAACAAGACAATTGTGTTGTTCTTAGGTGAGCTGTTTTTTGTTTTGTTTTTAATTTCACGCAAAGCTACACGAGGGCTATCTGCTCTAGCCGTCCCTAATTTAGCAGTGTAAGACTAGAGGGAAGGCAGCTAGTCATCACCACCCACCACATACTCTTGGGCTACTCTTTTACCAACGAATAGTGGGATTGAACATCACATTATTACGCCCCACGGCTGAAAGGGCGAGCATGTTTGTT